TTTTTTCCCCTACAAGACTGTATTTGAACTACCAACACCTATAATTTATCTTCCCAAACCTTACATAGGGTTAGAAGCGCTCTCCTCAGGTAAGCCAAAATTTAAGTAGTACAAAATTAATTTAAAACCACTGTAAAATTATCTGAACCTTGTACAGTTGTAGGTATGCATAAAATACAGCTCGTCTCGTGGTGGATGGAGTAAAAAACCAAAATAATTCAGTTTACTTTTTGAAACATAACTGCTTCTTATTTCATTTCTTTTTATTAGATCACAGAAAATACTGTACCATTCACTGTACTGGGTATTTGAAGAACTGGCCTCCTAATGAGGTGGGAGTAGAAGAGGAAAATGATGTAGAGAAGGACAGTAGTAACTTTAACTGTCTTGTTGCAATTGGGAGGTTACATCCTTATATTGTTCCACAAAAGAGTGGAGAGATAAAAGTGAAAGCAACAGAATTTGTTACACGATTTGCCATGGATGGAAAATTTGTTTATGTAGATCAGCGGTAAGCGTTTTGTTCCTTAATGAAGAAAAAATGAAAATGACACCATTAGTTAAATTTTCTATTACTTTCTGTCAGAACTGTAGTTTCTCAAGCAGGATAGAATTTTGAGGTGCTGTACACAGGAAGCAGTTCTTTCTGAATCTGAGTATCTATCTATGAGAATCTGTAAGCCTTTGGTTTTTTTTTTGTCACACATGCACTTGCTTTTGTACATTATGTTTTATTGCCCTATAGGAAAAGTTGAGCTAGCATGATTAAAGTATGTTGTAAAATGCACTCAGGTATTTGTCTATTCAAAAGAAAAATCTCAAGTTAGAGCTTCATAGCAATGCATATGACTTAAGTAGTAAACACTTCATAAAAAATTATTACTTCTTAAAATCTTACTATTTGGAACAAATATATTTTATCTAAATGAGGTACTAAGTTATTTCATTAGAAGTGAAGGCTATGTTCCTGTCTTCTGAACTTTCTAAAACGTTTGTTGCACAGACAGTCTCCACTTTGCATTTTGAATTTCATTGTTGTCGCTGAAAGCATTTTATTTCTTTCTTGTCTTTCATCTAAAATGTAAACTTAAAACTATTCCTTAAAGTGCCACAGCAAAATTCAACTACTCAGCTTTTTAATGACTCCTAATGTGTGATCAGTACCCTAACTGACTAATAGGAAGAGCTAATGATAATTTTTTTGTATTTTGTGTACACGTTTGCATGAACACAAGTGTCTGTTTTGTTAAGTGCTTTCATTTTCTGCTTTATCTGGTACTGAAGAACACAAGCTTTGCAATTGTTTGAAACTGCTGTAGTTCATGTTTTTATTTCTAACAGTGCAACAGCAATTTTAGGTTATCTGCCACAAGAGCTTCTAGGAACTTCGTGTTATGAGTACTGCCATCAAGATGATCACAATCATCTAGCTGAAAAACATAAAGAAGGTACAAAATAATTGGTATTCCCAGACTACTTACATGTAACTGCTGTGTGAAAACACTACAAATAAAAAAATCAGAATCTGAGAATTGATAAAACTAAACAATCTTAGCATTGTCCTTTTCTACATCTGCATTAAGGCATGCCTGCATAAAACTTGTAGTAAAAGCAGGGAGAAGGTTCTGTTGTCTTTGATCTTTGTGAGGTATAAAGACATGATGTTAATGCTTCTTTCAGCCCTCTCCTTCAATTCTTTATAAGAATGAGGAAGGAATCCTGAAGAGCAAATGTGCCCTAGCATATGGTTAAAGACGCCTATTATCAAAGTTTACCAAGTCAGGAGTCTCCCTACTAGTGGCTTGAAGAAACTTATTACTTGGGCTTTAATTAAAGATTAATATCATTGCTGAAATTATAGTTTGATTTTAGTACAGGTCCTGTCCTGTCAGTTGTTCTGGCATTTTATTTGCATTCCTGGCCATACAAAACCATATTTTGGTTTTATAATTCTATAAAACAGATTGTGTTTAACTTCATCTTTCTAAGTATAAATATGGTGATTACAACTTTCCTTTCTTATTTAGTGTTGCAGAATAAAGAAAAAGTATTTACAAATTCCTACAAATTTAGAGCAAAAGATGGAACTTTTATTACTTTAAAGAGTCAGTGGTTTAGTTTCATGAATCCATGGACCAAAGAGCTGGAGTACATTGTATCAAACAACACTGTGATATTGTAAGTAATTAATATGAATCCCCATGCTATTTTTTGTCTTTATTACAGTTAGCATTAACAGAGGGAAACCTGTTAAGTAGCAGAACAAGACTAGAATATATCAGTACTGCACAAAAAGTGATTGAGTAACCTGCAAAAATATTTTTTTTTGCATTTACCATTACTTTTATTTCAGGATTAATTTGTGGATTTGACTCTGAAAACTCTATTTCCCAATAGGAAAAAAGAGATGAAAGAGTTTCTTATTAAAGGAAGAAAGGATCTTTTCTTAAAAAGTAGATAAGAATAAATGGAAATCTGAATTTAATTCTGGTTTTCCTTCTGACCTTTACAATACTCCATGTCTCAGTTGACCTAATTTTAAGTGCTACCCTACTTACCATCTGCCAGAATGTGGAGAAGCACAGTTGATAGATTGTAGAAATGGAAGGCAGGACAAAAATATGTTCTCAAAGTGGATTGCAAGGGAAGAGTCTGGGAGACAGTAAATGTGTATGTAGACTTTTTTTTTTTTTTTAATTTTTGGTTCTTCTTTTTCGTTCTCTGTGCCTTGCAATGGAGCTATAATTTGCGTTGTTCTGATGATACTAAGTATCTTTGCCAATAACTGAGTTTTTGTGAGGAAGACAGAGGGGATTTGAATTCCCTTAAAGCAAGTTGTCAAGGGGGCCTTTTACCCATTCTGTAGCTGATTCATGTCTTAAATCAACATCATCCACCTATTTTGCCTATGTTCTTTTTCCTCAAGAAGGTGGAGAAGAGCAGTTGGGCAGCAGTTGTTGCTGCCCAGTAACAAAGGCCACTTTTTCCTGCCTTGGGAGCATCTGCAGCTATCTAGAGTAGGGCAGGTAAGCAGCAGCTGCTGACAGAAGTTAGCCACTGACCTGTCCTTGTAACAGTTGTTTCTGGTTAACTGGTCTCCCTCCTACGAGTAAAAATGGCAGCCTTGTCTGTATTCCATGACAAGAGAACAACTCTTTTGGCCTTTCTTCTTTATTTGGAGAATAAGTGGAAACAAATATTTCACCCAGTGCTTCAGAAACAGTACAAAGGATTGAACGTTGAAATGTGAGGAATAACATTTTTTCATTAGTTTGAGGATGTTAGCTTTCAGTCTGTGTAAAGTATTGTAAAAGTCAAACAGATATGATGGGTTTTGCCTTTGAAAAATGTGCTGATGTATGTTTGTTTGGTTTTTAATTTATTTATATCTCAGAGGTCATAATGAGTCAGCTGAAGAACAGGTCCTCTACAGTTCGCAGCCTGCAGAAGGCAAGTGTTGTTTCTTACAGTTGTCACAGGTGCCTCTCCTGATCAATCATTACAATTTTAGCTTTGTTCAATCCAGGAACTTTTTTATTCTAGGTTGTTGTACAAGAAGGGATTAATTTTTTTTTTTTAAAGCTAATTCTGGTGACAATTTCTAGTTACAGCATACTAATTCATATTGTTCACATAACTGTGATATACAAGGGCTTATAGCATATTTTGTTCCTTCTAGCTAGGATTCTGATTGATAGGATATTGTGCTTCTGTCACAGACTCTTCAGAAAACCAGGAAAACTATAAAAAGAAATGCAACTATACTCGGAGTTTACCTATAGAATATAGGGTGATACTAATATCGATACATATTTTACTGCTCTGTATGGATTCCTACTTCTGCATGCTGTTTTATTATCTTGCTATAAGATTTTTTTAAGTTTTGCTTTTGAATTTGTTCTTTTTAATACTGATTTCAGTATGTGAAACATACAGGGTTTTTTTTCCTCATGTGTCATATTGTCTGTGGGAGAGGCTGGAGGTGGTAGTGATTAAAGTTAATTTTACTACTGGAGATCAGCAATTTTCACAAATATATGATTCATTTACATTTTAATTTCAAATAGGATTTAGAATATGCTCCCCTGTGAGTTAGTGCTTGAGAGAATTTAATTTCTGAAAATAAGAGATATAGTAAAAAACCTACTTTAAAATGAATCCTTGAGGTGATTTTTTTTCCTTGCTGTGCAATGAAATTGCTGCAAATTTATTTTATTTTTTTTTTTAACTGTAGATGCTGTGAAACAGTCTTTAGTAAGTGTACCTGGAATGTCCTCTGGAACAGTTCTTGGTGCTGGAAGTATAGGAACTGAAATTGCAAATGAAATATTAGAATTGCAAAGGTAATGAATGCTTGACCTCATACAATAGGCTTTTAAGTAAAGATAGAGAAGAGATATACATGATTATCTGGTGGTTGTTCAAGTTTCATTTTTAGTGTGTTGTATGTACAAAATATTTTTAGGTTGAGCAGTGGCATGACAGAACACTCCACTAGTGTTGATAAATAGTTTTGTTCTGGGCATGCAGTTTCTTTTGTTCCTGAAAATATTATTTAACTACGACTTCAGAAGTGTTACTGTGATGCAGCTTCTTCATGTGATTTTGAAATTGGTAGATAAACCATTTGGAAATGGAAAATCAGCTGTCTGTGAGCAGTGTCTGTGTTTTTCTGATAGCGTTGCTCTGCTAGGAACACTTTCCTTGAAACAGTCCCCAGTGGAGCACTTTCATAGCTTGTATTGTCCCTTTCCTGACTCTCCTGAATGTAGACTAAAGGGATAGCGCAATTTCCTCCCAGTACCCAGCTATAGATTAAAAGTAGTTCACTGTATTATTCCGAATGGGAGTTCATACAAGATTCAAATTGTGATTTAAAGATTGACCCTTCTAAAACTATATATTTTTAGCAGGCACACAGCATAGCTGAGGATTTGGAAGGAAGAAACAATTTTAATGTGAAGATATTCTTCGGTATTTCTTGTGTTGTGCACCCACAGCAGTGCCTGCCTTGCTTATAGAGGGAGAGGGTATTACTCTGTCAGTTACCATTATATCAACATTCATTCATTTAACAGCATTTTGAACAAAGTCCCTGAGCCCCCTAATTCCAGGACTTCAGCTTGCACACGCACAGCAAAAGTTTGTTTTCAGTCACAACTTTTCAGGAATTGAGGCTTCCTCAGAAAGTCCAACCATTTTTGTTAAGGTGAGATGTAGGATAATGGTACTATCATGTCATCAGCACAGGACAAGTCACCTAACTATTAGCTTTGGATAATGAAATCATCCTTGAAACTTTAGATCTTATACTTCAGGTTCAGGTAAAGGAATACCAAGAATTTTTTGATGTCTGCAGAGCAGTTTTCCAAGGTCCCATGTGGTTCTTTCCACTGGCACTTTTGCAACTGGATCTGACAGAGTAGTGATATTAAATCTCCTGTGAAGAAGTATACCAGTTCTGGAAACAATGGTAAAGGTATAAGGAATAGTTTTATATCATAGAATATCCTTGGCTGGAAGGGACCCATGAGGATCATATAGCCCAATTTCTGACTCTACATGGGGCAACCTAAAAGTTAAACCATACATCTACATGCGTTCTCCAAGCATTTCTTGAATACTGACAGGCTTGGGGTCATGATCGCTGGGGAGCTTGTTCCAGTGCTTGGCTGTCTTCTCAGTGAAGATGTTTTTCCTAATGTCTTCCCCTGATATAGCTTCAAGCCATTCCCCACATCCTACCACCAAACACTGGAGAGAAGACATCAACACTTCCCTCTCCACCCTCCTTTATAAGGAAACTGTAAACAACAATGAGGTCACCTCTCATGCACCTCTTCTCTAAGCTGAACAAACCTAGTATCGTCAGCCTCCCAGAAGTCATGCCCTCTAGTCCTTTCACTACCTTTGTTGCTCTCCTTTGGACACATTCTAATACTTTAATAGCCTTCTTATATTGTGGAGCCCCAAACTGCACACAGTACTCGAGGTGAGACCACACCAATACAGAGTCTTAAATCGCTTCTTTGGCTGGTTAGCTACACTGTGCTCAGTGTACCCCTGGATACTGTTTTCCCTTTTGGCCACCAGAGCACATTGCTTACTTGCATTGAGCTTCCCATCAACCAGACCTCCCAGATATTTTTCTGGAGGGCTGTACTCCTACCTTTTGTACGAAGAAGTGGTCTTTACTTTTAGTTGGAATTTTATGAAAATATGGAAAGACAGATACAATAAAATAATAATATGTTTGGTCTGTCAGTGCTGGTGATTCAACAGAAAATTAAAAGTTCTCAAGTAGTTATGACCCATGGCCTTTATTGATCTCTTTTGCTTTTTTGTGTTATCAAAACTTGGAGCAGGAGGATTTAAGAGAATATTTTCTCAGATTAGCTGTCTCATGCTTTGTCACAGGGGAGGTCTTGTGGGTTCTGCAACACACAGGCTATTTTTCAGATTCTGATGAATATGACTTGGTAAATCAACTAAACATATGATTTTAGGTTGCATTCTTCACCGTCTGGAGAGTTAAGTCCATCATGTCTCTTGAGGAAGTCATCTTCTCCAGCTTTAACTGTAAACTGCAGCAATGTGAGTATGTCACTGTCTGTAAATATCTGGAAAGTAAAAGGTTAATGTCCTATAGCTCAAAGCCTCTGTTGGAACCATGTTACCCATACTTGTGTTTTTTTGTGAGAGAATGTGTAAGGTATTGCCAACTACCTGGCAGCTATGAAAGTATTTTAAGAGATGTAAGAGTAGCAGAAATTCCAACCTCATTTACAGGGGCATCAGTACAAGCTGTAAGGGGCTGTTCCTGAGGCTGAGAGGGCTGCAGTCTCCACTCATTTGTTAGGTGAAGCTCTACAGATATGTTAAAGTGATTCGTGTGATGAGGACTCTTCTAGATTTGGAATTGCATTGAAACTTCTGCTGAATAACCATGACAGATTAAAAGTGTTTCTGCCTGTTAAGTGTGACAACCTAAATAGAGTATCAGATCTTGTTTTCCCTCGCTTATACTTTTAATCTTAATGTTCTTGATGACCCTTTTAAAAATTTATGCTGTATGTTCTCAGTTTTGAAACATTTAATATTTTTACTTCAAAGATATTTCAGTAGTCTTCTAAAAGTTGATAGAATATGCTGTCTTAGTAATCAAGTAGTGCTGGTAGCACCATAAACTTGTAGATATCATAGTTATTAACCACAGCTATGGAATAATTAACATTTTTTCCCTAAATATATTGTATGTTGTATATGGTGTACTCTATGAACAAACATTTACTTCTCCATCAGTACTTCTTTGAATGTGTATTTCTTTCAATGTAAAGACATTTTATCTTCCCATTGCAGTTTTCAATTCCTAACAATACTATACTGGACAAGGGATTGTTCTGGCTTCCTCCCTTTTTTGTTATCGGTTCTCCCTTGCCTTACCACAGGTCTTTCTCCCTAAGAGATGGTCAACTTACATATACTGAACTTTCTAAATCATGCACCATCTCATCATAAGGATAACTTAATTGTATAAATTGAAGGTTTTTCTTTATTCTGTGCTTTGGTATCCCGTTTGTTGCTAAAATCATTAATTTCCTATTAGGCTATACACAAGTCAGGCAACCCAAGAAATCTCTCCTGCTAAATTGCATGTATGTGTTAGAGGAAACAAATGAGGTGTATTTGGGTTAGGGTGATTTCCATCTCTTTTGTTGCTAGCCTTGTTTTTCTGAAGTGCAAAAAATAATTTAAAACTGCTTAGATTTTTATTCTGTTGGTAACAAGATGCAAAATAATAGAAAAGATCCAAGTTTATAATTCATATAGTTTAATGCATATAAAACGTGGTGGGTATGAAGGTCTTTTTGTTATCTTTTAGCTACAATGTGTTGACATTGGCAAACTTGATGTCACTGAGAATTTGTAGTTTATGGTACTAGACATGAAAAGTATATGCCACTACAGTTTGTTGTGCTGAATTTATTTGCTGAACATTGAATTAGATCCTCAATAAAGCAAATGTTGTCACTGTGAAGTACCTTTGACAGATGTGTAAGTAACATCTTTTATTTAAGCCAAGTCCAGTGCTATGTGTACTTCTAAAAAAAAAAAAAAAAATTATTTAAAAATGCAGTAGGTCTGCCTGTTGATGCTTTTTCTCTATTTAGTTCTTAATACTTTTACAGCAATCTATTATGTTTCTGTACCGCAATCATTGCGAATAAGTTTAGGGTTTAATTCTGTCAGAAATTCTGTTTAAGTTCTTTTACTACTTCTGTTTTTTCAGGTGCCAAATAAAGAGTTGATACAGTTATGTTCTTCGGAAACAGGAGTTTTGGAGACTTCAGAACAAAATCAGGGTGCTATTCCATTTCCCAGTAATGAACCTCTCCTCAGTAAGATTCATTTCTCTTGTGGGTATTTTGGGGGTTGCAGGGAAAGACATTTCTGATAAAAGGTGTAATTTTTGAGTGCGCCACTTTACAACCATGTATAAGTTGTAAAGAGATTTGTCTGCCTGAAGATGAGAGGACTCCTAAAAGTGTTGTTATCACTGTGTTAGCACTGGAAGGCAAACAGAAAAATTTGATCAGTGATTGAGTCTCATGACAAAAATAACACCCTGTAACAATAGTTCATCATTGTGTTCTCGCATACCACAGTTTTAATTAGGTACTTACTAGTTCACTCTCCAGAAAAGACACATGGGTAAGGAAGAATGTTTCAGTGAGGGAACTTGTTGTAATCTGTGAACTATTGTCCTTTCAGCACTTCATCTCTTTCTTAATAGGAAACTATAAATAGTCAATACAAACGGCTGCTCAAAATATTTCAGGAAGGGTGTGTTGTTTTGTTTTCTTTCTCCTTGTTCCAGCGTGCACAAAGGCAGCAGTTTGTCTGGATATAGGATTCCCTGCCTCTGTAATAGGAGAATGCAGTTGTATTATTTTCAACATAAAAAGTGAAGTGCTATAAAAGTAATGTTTATACTTATCGTGTATTTCAGCTCTTAGAAACTTTTTCATCTCCATCTTTTATTTTTGTTACTAAAGCTTTATTTGTAACCTATAGTTTTCTTCCAGTTTAGCTTTTTATATTTTAAAAAAAATCTTCAAATAAGGGTTTGAATAAAAAAAAAAATACAAAACCAACAACGTTTATCCAAAATAGGCAAGGAAGCATTTTTCATTGATACTTGAGCTCAAGCATTTTACCCTCTGTCATTAAAGGCAAGGGTGTAGTGTTGGTTTCTAGAGCTAACATGTAGTAACTCGTAGGGTTTCAGGAGTTCATGTAGCATAGTACATCCGATGACAGTTCAGGTCCGTGATCATGTTTCCCACTCAAGTGACATAAAGTAGAAAGCAGTTTTCTACTTCAGTGACACAAACTTCACTACATGGATAGAAGTTTCATAAATGAGCCATTGGAGCCAATGGGTTGGTAAGACTTAAGTTTTCTTCTTAAATCAAGCTACATGTCTTTATAACTGTCTGTGGACAGCCATTATTTCTATTGATTGATTTTTATTTCTTAAACATTTGCCTCGACTTGAAATGATGGTGCTGTTTCAAAACAAACTTGTTTTGAAAGATACCTTATTGTTCATCCTCTGTACTGCTTACTTTAATGTTTCAATAATTTTATAGGTGGTAGTTCCCAGCTGGATTTTGATGCAATATGTGAAAATGATGACACTGCTATGACGGCTCTTATGAATTACTTGGAGGCTGATGGAGGACTTGGAGATCCAGCTGAACTCAGTGATATACAATGGGCTCTCTAGTTTTGCTTTTTCAAAATAAGAAGGAATGTAAAATCCATAATGCACAACAACCGTACATCCTCAGTACTGTATTATAATTTTGTAATGTTTCATTTGAATTCATAGTTACTGTCTATAGATTTCTAAAGACTGAAGCCTTGTTCAGAGAGAGTTCCTGCTGCACCTAAGGAAAGATGCAATATTTTTTTTCATGATGGGGAAACCTTGAAATTTTAATACTGAACCATCTGTAACTGGAATGCTTAAAACACACTACTATATTTTTGCTAAGAAGCTTTAACTAAAAGGTACTGTGCAATGTACCAGAGTATTTTTTCTTAGTTTTAATGCTTAGACTTTTATTTATTGTTATTGTTTCAAATGGTAGAATATTGATTATCTGTATTCATTTCTGTAGAATCTACTGTACTTACACAGCTTAAGGATATTTGTAACTATTAAATTTTATTGAAATTATGATTTGCACACACTACAGTTGTAAAATAAGGTATTGTGATTCCTTGCCCTTTTCAAAAGTGCAATTTTTGTAGTACAAAGTGAAAATAAAGCACACAGTTCTGGGTAGAAAGGATTTGAATTAGATCACCAGAACAATCAGAAGATCATTTTCTGAGAAAAATAGTCACTTCCTCAGTACTCAAACATGATAATGGTGTAAGAAAAGAGCAACAAAATCTTTTACTATTTTTTATTATTTGTAATGTCTTACTAGAAGGGCAGTGCATAGAATCTGAGAAAAGTAATGCTGTAACTCTAATAAAGCACCTTGTTCTTATCACTAGAGAAGTTTGGATAGATTCTTTGTTTCAAAGTGAGGCTAGCACTGTCTGTTAGTACAAAAATCCTAAAATTCTATAGTATCTTTTTATAGTTTCCATATTTTTTTGAGAGATTAGGGTGATTTTTCTATTGCTCGTGTCTGTGACTTTTTACAATATGTGTAATATAGAGCTGTCTGTAAGTAAATGCTATATAGACCAATCCTCTTTTGGGGGACAGCTTTTGCAGGAATTGTATCACAGTTACAGCAGATCACTCAAGAACGTGGCACTTAACAGGTTGTATTAGAACACTATAACATTAATATATAAGGTGGATCTCTTTATCTCCGGTATTAAAGGTTTAGACAAATTTTTATATTTATTATATATCATAAAAGCATAACTTTTCTTTTTATTTAATTTGGGTAATGAAAGCATTTGAAGATAGTTGATAAGTTTGCAGCCTTTTTGCAGGCACTATATGGTTAAAACCATCAGGACTATTGCATTTGTTTTACCACTGAAGGTGAGCAATAGGCAATCTGTGTCTGATCAAATGAATATGGCATGCACTAGGTGTCACACTTCTGTTCTCTGGTAACTGCCCTTTCCCAAGTGAATATGTCACTTCATTGTGCACTGACTTCCTGTGCTTTGACAGAACAGCTTTATATCTTACAGATATGAATCATTTTGCAAATTATTAAATTTTTTTGTGACATCTTGTACTGGTTTTCTAGAACGGCTTGTTGGAACGATTTTTTAATTTTTTTTTTTAAGTCTATAAATTTGTTTGCATTTAACTTGCATGTGATTTCCTGCATTCAACTTTTTTTTTTTTTTTTAAATACATGGGGCCAAAATTATCTATTCTCTAGCTTTATTAGAATAAACTTTCCTGTTTCTTCACAGAAAATGAATTTGGGGCTATATTGTGGAGCAAAGTGGAAAAAAATAAACAGGTACTTTCTAAGGATTGATAGAAGTCTATTTGTATAAATGAAATTTGAGAATTTCCATTTTTTTGCCATTGTAATATGTATTTTTTATTTTCTATTTTATTCTAGAAATAAATTCTAAGTAAAACAAATACTGTAGCTAAAACAAATAGGTAAATAAATAACTGAAAATCATACAGACTTTCTGCAACATGCTTCCTTTTTTAACTGCATTAGTTTGAAAATGGTGCAGATGTTGATACTGGAGGAGCATATTAATTCTTTCACAGGATTTATATACCTGTGTGGAATCAAACTACTATCTTTTGATTCCTTTTGGATTTCATTAAAAAATAAAACAAAATGTAACCTTTGCTGTCATTGATCAATACTGTGGCTCTCAGTTTATTAGATTCTCCCTTTACTATTTGTGAATTTTTCTGGTTTAAAAGAGTGTTACAAGAAAGAAAAATATTTATGTTGAAACTAATACATACTTTGTAATACAGTTGAGACAGTATGTGCTTATTTCTGTTCATATAACAATTCTAGTAAGATATGGACAGTTTTTTTTTTCCTTGGAAAGGTGCAGGTTATCAGAGGATGTGGTTAAACTGGATCAATAAAATGTTATTTTGGTGCACTGCTGTCAGTCTGACAATTCTACCTAATACTGAATTCAAATGTGAAGCATTCCTAATCCCGAGCTTGTTCCCTAAAAATATAAATGGAGAGGCTGAACTAATGTGGATTTCGGTAGCTCAAGATGATATTCCCTAGTTGAGGTGACTTTGTAATCCAAACTAAGGTGTGTTTTCTAGGTACTAAAATGCCCTGATGTTGCAGCTTATTTGTCGCATCCCTGGAAAGGAGAGTGCCTTTAGGCTGCACCTGAAATAGCCTGTTTGATCAGAAGCAGACAGAGTACATGGATACAATTCTTACAGTGTCTTACCACAGGTAGGTATGGTAAGTGATAAAGCAGGTATCAACAGGCTCTTCAAAGTCTTATCCGTTGTTGAGGTTGTACTTGGAGAAGGGTCAACTAATTTATTTCTGCAGGCACATAAGGAGTTAAAGAAAAGAAAATCTTGATGGGAGAGGAGTTCTGGTATAAACAGCAGCTTATTTGGGAAACCAGTTCCAGTGTTGATGGGAAAATGTAAGAATTGTTTTCGGAACTTCCATAGCAGTGCTGTGCTGCTATATACAGTACCTCCTGTTTCACAATAGCCCGCCCACCTGTCTTCTCTAAGCTGAATATTCAACCCTAAGTAATGATGCACAGAAGATGTGATTCTGCAGCACAGCATAGTGCCAATGGCAGCTGTAGATGTGCTATGCCCACACATTATTACAGACTACAGAGACTTCAGTGTCTCATTGAAAAGATTTTTGTGGCTGCTTGGGAACTGCAGATTTACCTGAGGGATTGCTGGGTTTGAACTTGTAACCGTTCCCTTAGGTGATTGTAGTACATTGCCTGCAGTGTGCAGAGCAAAAACCAATGTTCATCTCTACGACTAAGAGAGGTCTGAAATGTCAAGAGAAAAAAAGAGAAGGCGGTGTGTAGAAGTACCTGAATCTACACACTTCTGTCAGATGTAGCTAACCTCTGTTTTGCACCTGACCTTGTGTGGTGGTACAGCCTCTCCCGAGGCTGCTTTGCAAAACAAAAAAAAACCAACCAACAAACAAACACCCCAAAACCAAAATAAAATAAAATAAAAAAAACCCAAACAAAACAAACAAACAAACAAACAAACAAACGGCAAAAAACTTTTGCTGCTTAATTTCATGATGTAGGAGTCTGGGAAAGCTCAGTACATTCTGTTGCCTGGTACATTCTGACCTTATGTGTCCACCTGGAACTAAAAAAATTTCCCCGTGCCACCCAGAGATGGAGACAGCAAGATGGAATAGGTGAGCACCCCAACTATATCCATAGCTCCTGAATACTCTGGACAGGAGACAATGAAAGACCTCGGCGCCGTTGGGGAAGAGCCAAGCTGGCCTGACAGGATTAATGGCCACAGTGGAAAAGTATGGGCTGGTACTGACCAGAGTCAGTTGTCTTGCAATACTGATACTCAAGTGAGGCCCATGGGAGCTCTCTGGGATCTCAGCAAGATGAGTCTTGGCATCTCCTCCTGAGCTGGGATGCCTTTCAGGCCAGACTCTAACCATCCACTGGAAAAGCCAATGAAGGGAACCACCATCTGCCTACAAAGACCGACAAAGGGAATTGCCATCTGCTTGTAACATGCTGAGAAAGGGAGATGTGAGTTTTCACAATCTCCAGGATTTTTTAGAGGATCCTTTAATCTGCAGAAAGATAGCATCTTACTTATAGGTTAACCTCTACACCTGTATGTACCTCTGTGTGTGTGTGGGATTTGCTTCTGCTTAGCAACTTAAATCAAATCTAATGTGAATCACTGTATTTATTATAACCACTTGATGATGATGGATTAAGCACTGCTAGCTTGTAAGTTACTGTATCAGTGTCAATATACTGGAATTGCTGCTATCACCTCAAAAGGCACAATGTTGCACTAAGCACCACGCCCAAGTCCCAATACCCAAATTTCCTTAGGCATAAAACCTTGACCCAGGTCTGGGACTGGAGGTAGATTTAACCTTATTCTCCAAGGGAGTTTGGAAGGCAAGGGGGTCTATTCTGAACCTCATGATCGAACAGGAGGATTACCCTTGACCTACACTATCCCACTTCTCCCTGATAGTTTTAGTCATAAACTGTTGGCCGAGTCTAAGATTTTGATTTAGCCACACCTAGGCTTTTCTCTGAGAAGGGGTTTAGAAAGCAAGGGTGTCTATTCTGAAACCCTGGTAACTTAATGAGAGGGCCACCCTTACCCCCTTCCACTCTGAATCCCCATGGTAATCACCCTAACCTGACTCTTCATCCTCTTAATTTTTACTGTGCATGTACATATATACATACGTGTATATGCATATATTTCCTCACACAACTACTGTAATCTTATTGCTTTTCTTTAGTCAGTTTGCTTTGTAGTAAATAATGTAGTGACCTTGCCATCAAACTGAACCTTGATTAACCTTTGATTCCTTGCTTTAGTTCAACAAATATACTAAACATTGTTAAACCATTCATCTATCTTAATAAATTGTATTGTTGCTTTCATTTGGGTGAGGTGCATTTCATTCATTCCATGGCAAGCAGAGTCTTAAATTAGGATCCTGCAACAAGTGATTTAAGCAATTTAAAGGGGACAGTGCCCTTTTGCAGCCCCCAAGACACCTTGACAATCTATTATTCATGGCCAGATATAACTGCCATCAGCTACTTTGAGATATATCTAGGATTAAAGCATTCTATAAAAAAAAATAATAATCCACCTCTAGTTAAGTGAGATTCCCAAAGTCAGGACTCAACAGTGCCTTGTTTACTGCCAGTTATTCAGCTGAGCAGTGCTATTGCTAAAATGTCATCCAGAATGTTCCCATCACAGAGACAGCACTAAGACCAGAGAAAGTATTTGAGTTTCTCTGGAATTCTTCAAAATCTTGGTCTCCATTACTAGAAAGCAGACGGGAA